TACAAAATGTATAGGTAATTTATGAAAAAAAAAGATCTAAAAGATACAAATTAATGTGACGTTGCTACCAAAATTAAGTCTTAAGCAGTTAGGCTTGGCCAAAACCTATGTCTAAATTTTAAGGCTACATTTATTCTAAGTGCACTACACTGTAATTGAATAAAAGGTTCATAATCTTTACTTAAATATGAAAACAATAAGCAACCTGTAATGATTTGGAGAATTCGGTTAGTTGGATTACACAAAGTCTGCCTAGAAAGTTTCCTTAATCATCATCCTAACATAAAAACTATACTTATGTAGCTAGCTCTTTTCATTCTTTTTATCCTTATTGCCTCACTAGAATCTTGTTCTTTTCTTGTGGGCATTGGCATGTTCAAGACAAAAGAAAACGAAAGAAAATGGGGTTATCATGATAGTGCAGCTTTACTGCCTGTCCTTTAGAAGATTAAAAACTATGGTTCTGAAAGGGTGGAATTATTTTTCCTAGTGAGGTCATCGGCATATATATATATAAAGCCTAGTAATGAGCTTCACTCTAGTTTGATTCATTGTATTTGCAGCTCTTGACGAACTGAGCTGTAATCTAAAAACTTGAAAAGCTGATGTTGACTCTAGGAAACTGCTTGATATTCTTTAAATGAAGACTACACCAGATCTTTGATCCACGTGAAATGATGTTGGTGAGTGATGACAATAGATAGAGCAAGATTTATGTGCAATGTTATGTGAAGAAATTACCATGCATACTACAAAGAGGACCTGTAAATTTTCTATGCATACTACGAGTTATTTACAACATATGCAATACATTAAAATGGACTAACTTATAGTTTTATTAATCTGTTCTTTTGGTGGAAGTCCTGATGTTGCTAATGAGGAGTTGGGCACTAGGATAAGATTTTCTAACATAATCTATATGATTTTCCAAGTACATTCAAGAACTCGTTTCAAACAATTGACATATCTCCTGAAACTTGACGTGAAAAGCATCAAAATGTTGGCAAGAAACTTGGTTTTCACTCTACAAATACGACATTGGATCAAATTTTGTTTTCTTCGTAAAATTTCGAGTTCCTTTCATAATGTATAGCAAAGAGAGAGATGGTGAGAGGAGAAGGGAAATGTGATAGCAGAGTAAGAAATTGCAATTCCAGTGGCAGAAGTTGAGACGATTTATTGGACCAGAAGGTATATTTAGCATCTCGAGATTTTAAGGAAATTGATATAGCACAGTTGAAATCTGCTCTAACAAAATTGTAAACCATTATCAGAACTTATATCATTCCAAAACGGAATTTCCCAAAAGAAAACATCACTGTGCACTAGGTTTAAGATAACACTCTGGTGCTAATTTTTAAAGTGTTACAATTGCGACTCTAGGGATAATCAGGATCTGAATAGCAAATTTATATCAAATAATCATGATCTGAATAGAAAATTTAGATCCTATGCTACTAATTACTCCCAAATTTAGCTGGCATCAAACATTGTAAAAACCGTTCTACCAATTCCTCACTTTCCTTACTTTAAGAAACCGTTCTATCAATTCCACCTCCACCTCCACCTCCACCACCAACTACCATTTCCCCTACGAATTCAACATGCAATTCCGCCTCCACCACCATCTACCTTTCCCCCATGCGAATTAACCGCCCCAACTATTATCCAACCTGCCTCAATTTTCGCACCAATCAAATAAAAAAACAGAGGGGAAATCGGACCCAACAACCCAGAAATGGAATAACAAGCAAATAACTAAAGATTATCAC